TGAAGAACGACACCTACAGAGATCATTTAATGTGGATATTATACCACACAGCCTTTCAAGTTACATTCAGTGTGAACAGTTCATCATTGCTGTCAGTCAGCATTTACCGTTGACTTGGAGCTCCTGATGAGAGCAACAATAGTGTCCTTGAGGTCGATGTCTTTGGCTATAGCATCAGTGAAAACATAGATGTGGGAAGAGGCAGGGGCACCGGTGAGAGCCAACTGGAGGAATAAAATAAAGTGCCTAGTCAGTTCATTCTGGATCACCAAAATATTTTTGATTCCCCAATTAACAGTTACACTCTAACAATATATACCTGAAGTCCTGACAGGCACATCTCTGGGGTATCACCACCTCCTGATGCTGTGAGCTTAGAGATTTCACTTTTCATCTTATCAGGGTCTGTTGTTCTGATCATAGGTCCAAACACTACATATAAAGCACAGAAAATGGGTTAAGTGCCAGGACTATCTTGTGGTTCACGGTATTCTGGACTAAAGTTTCTTTAAATCCCTTTTCATCCTATAGAATCACTGTGACTTGCAGATTTACAGTTTACATAAGATGATACACTTATATGTAACTATTATTACAACTAAACACACTAATGGTTTCCTAAACATGATCAGTAAAGTAAAATAGTTCATACTGGGGTCGTTGAAAGGCACCAGAATGTACTCGGATGGCTCATCCTGCGTTCCTTTTTTGCTGTCAATGATTTCATAAACAACCGCTCTGGCCTCATCGATGTCATCTGACATACTGCCAGTGGTGTCAATAACAAAGCACACGACAGAGGAGCGGGCAATCCCCATCATTCTGTGAGAAAGAAAGAGAGCGTGAAGCATTAAAGGTCTACTCTTCTTCTCAGTCTAAAACTTTGAGATTAAAGATCAAATTGAGATTGAGATCATCTTACAATATCTGAAAGGTCATACTCAAGCAGGAAAATGTTTTATCTGTGCCCACGCGAACAGCAATAAAACGGATGTATCACACACAGCCAGCTGCAGCACATGCGATTCGGCATTGAATTAAATACACACGCAAAAGCAGCATCTGTGGCAGCCAAAGTTGTCACCGACGACGGCCGTCATCTTTGGCTGATGCTCCACGAGGGACTGATGCGATAGTCAAGGTCAGCTGACATCAACCACTGAATCTTTCGACTGGTGCCAGGACAGACAAGGAGAAAGGGTTTGAACTGGGACCAGTGGTTAAACATAGATTATTTACGCATGGATCGATGAAGTTTGAATGTTGGACGTGCCCGCGGTTTCCTTTAGTAAAGTAAGTGCCATTCATTGCCAGTGAATATGACCCTTTGTGTTTGAACATACTCATATGTCACTGATACCTTTAGGCTTGGCGGCAGAGAAGATTCCCATGTAGCCTGATGTGAGTTTCTTCTCCTTCAGGATGTTGGGGAGAATGGGATTGGGGCATTTTCCACTGGCACAGTCACTGCAGGTGGCAGTGTTGATATCTACACAAGCAAAAGGCACACAGAACACACCATGAGTAAGACTCATTTAATTACAAACCAAGGTAAGTAAATATAATTTCATTTCAACTTTTGAGTGCTATGTTGGAGTGTTACAATTATCTGAAAATAATGCACTCCCACCAGCCAATCATAAAGCACAAAGACAAAACAACACACTCTGCTATATGATTGACTACTTTATGACATTTTACCCAACCCACAGAAATGAGTTTAGTCGTCCTTCTATGTGTATGCCAACAATATAACACACACACACACACACACCTGCCAGATTTTCCAGAGGAAGGTCTGGTCGTATGAGGTTGATGTATGGCTCTGTGTATCCCAGCTCCACCCAGTTAGTGTGGCTATAGAAGTCCTGGCAGTGCATTGAAACACACACATTAACACTTTTATACATACACATAACTAGAGTTAGGATTTCATATCCAGTCATTATACGCACCAGAAAGTAAACTTTCCTCCTTTCAGTCTCATTTCTCTCTCATTCTGCCTCCTCTAATCTTATCATTCTTTCATTCAATAGATGCCTGTTTGTTACTCCAAGTCCTCCTCCCCTTGCCCTTTAACCTCTCTATGCCGAGCTGTGTCATTCTGACCATCTCACCTGTAGTGTATGAAGGACTCTGCCCAGTGTTTCCCTGGCAGCCTGGAAGTTCTCTTTGCCAATGTTAGCTTTAATGGCCGCCATGCCCTCTCTGATTAGGCCACGTCCTTCCAGAAAGGCCTCTGAGTTGAAGTGGTGTGGAGCACTAAGAGAATTTTGGTAGGTGTGAAAGGAAATCATACTTAAAGAACATCAACACAAAAGTCCTGTTATTGAATTGCTTTTTGTTTGTTTCAACCTCTCTTTTACCTGTTGACAAAGTCACGGTCTACCAGTCCATTCTGGGTGTAGATTTCTTGAAGAGCGGAGTGAAACTTGGCACCAGACACTTCTCCTGTTGCTGTGGGTCCCAGACAGGCCTGGACCAGCTCTTCAGGAGACGAACCCTGTTGTCAGAGGTCAAAGGCTGGAGGTTACAGTTGCAGTAAATGTAAAAAGAGTGGTAGAGTTTGCAATTTAAACAAGAGCAGCTGTGCACATAGGGCTTTTTGCCTTAACGATCCAGTGTGTAACATTTAGGAGGATCAATTGACCAAAATTGGATATAATATTCAAAGCTATGTTTTCATAATGACCTGTAAATAACAACCGTATTGTTTTTGTTACCTTAAATTAAGTGGGTCCTCTTCAACAGAGTCCACCACGTTGGGTCTGAGTTTCAGGCTGAGCTCTATTCAGGTGGTCGCAATCTGCAACTTCACTACTCAATGCCTCTAAATCCTTCACAATGGTACTTTAAAAAGGGAGCCGTGTTTTTCACAAAGGATATGTTAAAACAAGACTAATGCTCTATTTTTGTAATTTGGTTATTTTGTTTTTTTGTGGAACGTGTGAAATCAGTGTGCTCCATTCATACTCACTGGCTACTTATTAACCAATAAATTATTATTATCAGGTCGTTCCTGATTAGTACGTTTGTACTGTCTTGCACATTTTTTAGCTTTCATCCTACCGTGGGATTGAACTCATGACCAGCTGCCTCAGCCACTGCCCGACATGTCTCAGTCACTTTTTGCAATAGAGCCGTTCCTGTAATGCTGATATGAGTGGATGCCCCACCCCCAATGGGGACAAAGGCCACGGTGGGCCCTAAAAGGGCCAAGGCAAGCAGGGCTATGCCCAGGACAGAAGTCATGATCAATCTACAGGGAGAGAAAAATTATTATCAGTTATCAGATTAGTTAAATGATAAATGAGACAGTGGGTTACTCTTCTGATTTTAGATATATTAGAGATACATTAGAATCAGTTCATTTAAATACTGCACAAGCCATATATGACATTTTTTTATTTTGTTGCTGGTTCAGTTTTATTCACTGTAAGTGGAGATATAGGGTTAAATGTAAAATAGTTTATCTCAAGACACAGCTCACTGTCCTATACAAAGGCAGGTACTTAAATCAGTATTTAATCAATGAAGATTGGTTTGTCTCAATACTGTCATTAAAGAAAATTTTCGATTAAAGACGACAGAAAAAAGAAAAACCTTTTTTCTACAAAACCAATACATAACAAACAACATGTGCTGATTTTTGAAGCTTTGTCCTTTTTATTCTTTAAAAAATCATGTTTTCTTTATAGAACATAAGAAATAATATTTATATTTATATATCACTGCACTTTCTGCTTTGTCCTGTATTTGCTATTCACAAAGATTTCTCTGTGATTATATAAAAATACCCTCGTTTTTAATGTATATACTGATTCCTTTTTACTACTAGAAATACACTATCTGATAAAACATAGGGCTCATTACACACTGTATTAAATTATTTTTGGTGTGATCTTTTTACCATTATATAAATGTTTTTAAAAGCCAAATATTTTTAATTATTTTTGTTTTACAAAAAAAACTGAATGTCTTGTGGGAAAACCATTGGCAGTATAATACCTTGTCATAAAAATACAGAAAATGAATTTTGAATACAATCATACCTTGATGTTTCTCAGCTGCGGTGACTCCAGTGACTCTTAAAGAAGTGTGCAGCCCCACCCCCCCTTTATAGCTGAATATATACAGTACTGTGTTTATGATGGGTGGAGACATTTACAGTAATTAGGACTACGTGGGTGTTTATGTTTGTTTGTGTGTGTGTGTGTGTGTGTGTGTGTGTGTGTGTGTGTGTGTGTGCGTGCATGTGTGTGTGTACATCTTCCTCTTCTTCTTCCTCTTCCTCTTCCTCCTCCTCATCATTTGTGTGACCAACAGTCACACAAAGGCAGAATCGGATTAACTGCAAAGGTTTCCTCCATAAAAAACCTGGTGTAAACCATGCAAAGATGTGTAAACACTTATAACTAAAGTCACACCTTGAGGAGTATTACCAACTTTACTGTAATTATGGGCAATAATTATGATGATTTTATTTTATTTGTTCCATAATATTACCACACTGTGAGTAACAAGGATTCTACTGCTTGAGAAGGTACAAACAAAGGTAGGGCAAGTTAAGAAGTGGAGGACTGAAGGGTAATGACTGACAGCATGGTGTAGACCTTGACTACAGTATACCATATTCAGATTACTTTATTGTCCCTTACATTTTTATAAAATGGAAATTCATCTTTGGCACTGACCTGTATCTGGAATATATAGGAAAGCTTGCCAAAGAGCTGGGATGGATTAGTGTTGATGCTTGATTTAAGACCTGGTGGCCTGCTTACTATTTTCTAATTCACAATGAAAATAGGTTACATACATTTATGGTTTTATTGTGAAGGTACAGTCATCTTGACTGTTAAACTGTATGAATAAGGTGATTGATGTAAAATTGTGTTACAGATAAATTACTTTCCTTTGAAATCACACAAGCTTATTTCCAGTGTAACACATAAAGTTACATTGTAATGTAATGTGAGGTCACTTATTAATTTTTAACCCTTTGACTGGTGGGTGTTGTCTTTAATATGGTAAAACACAACTTGGTGTATTTTAGCCCTATAATCTAATAATTTTACTGCTTACTACAAAGCTCAACCCCCTAGTACAATTCAGAGTAATGTTCATTGAACACAAAAAAAAATGATATACCATTTGGAGAAAAAGAAAGGAAACATAAAACTAAAGCATAGTGCTTATAAAAGCTAGTATGATGACTCAAGTCACATTCATAAACCAACTCCTGCCTGGATCCTCTATATATTACTGGAAGCATATAAGTACTCAAGCACTCCCAGTTCTTTGGATATCCTCTAAGAAATAGTGTACTCAGGTTCAGCCAAGTATCCGGAGGGCAGCAAGGGTTTTACTGCAGCAGCCTAAAAGGCGTAGTTTTTTACAACCTTCCTGGGAAAAACCTAGTGCCCTGCCTTAAAAAACCTTTGACATATACAGGAACCAGGCAACCAGCTGAACAGTCATCCCATCTCCGCCCAGATCTACAGGTCCAAAGAGCACAGAGGGCGGAAAGAGCAGTGGCAGAGAAAGCAAACATATTGAGATACTGAAATGGGCATAGGACTTTTTCATTTGTCCGACAGCCATAGTTACTATACAATTGACGATTTCACATATATATCATGTGATGAAAAGATGCAGTTATATATTAAACTACCCAACAGTATATAAGATGGTTAAAATTAGATGTGGGTGTTCTCTGGCACCACATAGTGGACAAAGGAAGTGATTTAACTCCTTTGTACAGTGTTCAGAGCCATGTTGACTGATCTCCGGCATCACATGTGGGGTGTGAGTGCCTGTTTATCGCTGCTTGGAGCTTTAATAAGTTTGTGTAACTTGATCGTAAGACTTACCTCCAGCCATAAATGAACTGCAAGCGCACATGTTTGCAAACAGACTCTTATGTTGTACAATATGAAATCTATACCTCTGCTTTCAAATAAAAAACACCACAACTTCGATCCATGAAAAATATAATCTTTAATCAAGTGTATCTAAATAACTTCTTCACTGGTACTATTATTCCTTATGCTCAACTTTCAACCTTTTAATGCAAAATTCTAAACAATAAAATTTAGTAGGTAACATGACCTACAAGCGTGACACATCTTTCAGTTTTATAATGATTATAAAGGGGGGTTAGTGCTCCCCCTTTTAAAGAACTCAACATTATCTTGACATCGTGCTATACATTTAAGAAATCTCAATTAAAAAGTAACTTCCACTCATTTATAAATATAAAAGAACGGACTTAATATAGTGGCACTTTAACCACCTGTCAAATGGTCACTCACAGCTGAAGGTGTAGGTTATTCTTATTTCTCAATAATACAGGGTAATAATGGCATTTAAATATTATGTATTTGATTATTTATATAGAGTTTATCATCATAATTAATTATTATAATGCAGTAAGAAACATATTTACTCAAAAGAAAATAATTAACGCTTGTTAAAAATGTTGTTAATCATACTCACATCCCTACATTAATGAAGTTCTTTGCATTGTAACACAGTGTAGTAAAAGAAAAAACTCTAAATAAAGTGTCACCTTAATTCACACTTTTATTATTATTATTATATTATATATTATCCTTTTTTGCCAACTCGCAACATCACACTGTGAGACTCAAAGGACTACATGGTGTACGTGTGGTGTTAAAGATGTGTACCATTCTTACCGTGCGTGGATTTTTATACATTTGGATACCAGCGTGGAAAGTGGCATTAGGCCTGCAGGCAACTGTTGTCAGCAAAACTGAAACACTAGGAAAATATTCAACCATGTAATACAACTGATTGTTTTATCATTAAAGTACACATTCACGACCCATTACTAGAATATTCCTTCAACCCCTTGCTACAAAGGCTACAAAAACAAGGCAAGATTAACAGCGGCAAGCACCCAGTGGCACGAAAGGGTAAAAAATCAGTTAAGGGCCAGCAGAACGTAACAAATGGGAATGATAGCACTGGCCCACCATTGCCAAAACTTTATTAAAAATAACTCAACAATCTGCGAAGGCAAGCAGGAGGATGTTAGTTTGCGAACAATAGGATACTCAAGAAACGTGTAAAGAAAGAAGGGGTTTCCATTGCCCTGACGCAGGGGAGAAATAGTTCGCTTTTCGCGTGCCGTTCATCGTAGTTGGCCGAGAGCTTCCCAATCGGAGAAGTCCACACTTGAGAACATGTTGAGGGCAAATTCATGTAGGCACGACCCATACCAACTTCACACAGAAGGCTTGAAACAAAATCTTTATCGGGAAAGAGACAGGAAAAAAAGGGTGAAGTTGCGATTGAATCAAGCGCAAACAGGTCATTCAAATCTTTGTAGGGGATGTATTGAAGTCCATTAATTAAGCTATATTTGTTTATAAATTATTTCACTATTTCTTACTGTGTATCTTGTTACTGGTAAACAAAATGAAATTCAAACGGGCTAAATTGGAAGTCAGCCACAGAACGACTGTTTCTATCGTGATGAAAAAAATCAGTGGCTGGAAGCGGTTGGCAGTGCTAATTAAAGTTATCATAGCAGTATTGTCCAAGTGTTCAAGGGGTTGAGGCTCAAGAGAAAGAGAGATAAATAAATGAAAAAAAAAAACATAATCATATTATAAGTAATAATAATATAGTTTGGCATGAAAGAGTAATCCATTACAGCAAGGGTCACAGCGCCACGAGCATGCTACAAGACCCGGCGAAAGGGACACCACATGGGAATCACTTCTGCGGGCAAATAGCCAATCCGTGGACCAAAGTACCAGTATCCATCTCTTTCTTTTTTACATAGTAGTTTACTTGGGGGAAAACGAGCCTATGATCCCTTTTTTGCCTTCTTTTTTCTCCCTATTGTTTTTCTTATGTATTCAAAGTTAAAATTGTGAAGAGAAGGCACGTGGTTTCACATCGCAACAACGTCCAACACCCAAGCATGGAAGGCTGCAATAGTTTCCACTTATATCACCCCTGGCAGACACACAAACTCTGCTGCCTTCACACCAACAACGCCGGATTCCACAACGGGGCTAGACTCTTTATATCTCTATCTTTTTTTTTTTTTTTCTATGCTTGAGTTTAGCTGTTTTCCTCAGCCTGGTTTGGGAGGACAGGGCAGAAGTTTCTGTCAATTTCTGGCGCCAATGGAGTATTGACCACCAGAGGCCTTGGCGTCATGACACTGAAAGGAAGCCTGGAAGGTTTCCCTGGCTCCACACTGCTGTCCAACACAGCCTAGAGAAAATGAAGAGAAGAAAGGAACGAAACAACGTGAAGAACATGTGATATTGTTCTTGCACCCCTAAAAAGTTCAAAGCACTCTGCAAATGTTGTAAATATACTCTCATCTTACCTTTAAATCGCGGGGGGGGAAACCAAATATAAATGGGGTTACAGGAGGATGTGAAGAGGAAGGTAAAGAGACCTGACGCCTGATATTGCACTTTGGAGGGACGGACATCTTGGGGGTGTAGACTGGTCCTGATGAAATTGCGGTGCCTGGTGGACAGTTTGCGTTCAGCATTCTACAACGTTGCACCATATGCATGAAACA